CCGCCGCTGGAAAGTGCATGCGCTCTTGACACCCAGACTGTTCTGGCACACTACGCTGCACAGCGAGACTTAAAAACAAGCCCGTTCCAGAACCTGAAAGACGCTTGGCGAGCCTGGTCGCCCCTCTCGATAGCTCCGCGCGCCCCAGCCTTGCTAAGGTGGCCGAAGGAGGCCGGCGAGACTCTGCCCATGTCGTCGCGAATCGCGCCCTCGTTCAAGTCCGACGCCCAGCCAAGCCTGCGCAGCGTCACGGCGAGCGCTGCCACTCGCTGCCCCACCGCAGCCCAAGGCTTGGCCAGCTGCAACGCCCTCTGGACGTCCTCGAAGACGCTCTTCAGCACCCCCAGTAGACGTGGGCGACCTCTCAGTTCAGAGCGATGCCGCGACCACCAGCGGTTCTCTGCGCCACGCCGACGGGCGCCCCAGGGACATGAATCCGACGCTAGATCCACGAGGCACTCCTCGAACAGACTTGGCAGCCACAACGCGGAGATGTCACAATTGAGCATCGGAGATGGCAAGGTCGACCGTGCCCGAGATGGCTTCGGCGAGGGGCGCCGCTCGGAAGATCCCGGACACGACGGGGCCCGAGCCGAACATGGCTAGACGGGTCCCCATCTACTTGGCCTTCTCTGGACCTGGTGAGCTGAGTCCCAAGACGTCGCCCTTGGCCATCGTTGGAGTCTCCTTCGGAGATCTCCGTGGGCCAGCACGCACTTATCCTTCCGCAGACAGAACACCATCGGAGTCCAAGCCCTCGGGAATGAGGCCCGAGGCGGAGCACATCCAAAAACTCTCGCCCCAGGAGATCGGCAGCTCCACCCCCCCACACGCCATGCTGGGCCGATCACCGTTTCAGGGCCCCTGGTGATATGGCCGTCAAGTCATCGATCACGCCGATGGTTCTGCATGGTCGGACGCCCCGAGCTAGACTGCCCAAGACTGACATCACCATGAGCTTAGAGACCCCAGCGGGCGGCACACGAACACCCGGCAATGACAGCGCCGCTAGCCGCGACCTGCCTGCTTGCACCTACCCCGCCCGCCACACACACACACGCACACGCACACGCACACGCACACACACACACACACACACACACACACACACACACACACACACACAAACACACACACACAGCCTGGCACGGCGAGGAGACCTGTAGAGGGTTAGAGAGCCTCGAGGAATTTCACGTTGAAACCGAAAAGGCCCCAGCACGTCGAAGTTCCTCGCGAGAAACGTCATCACAGAATTCTGCGATATCGATGGAGACCGACATCGAGACGAGACCTTGACGGCGGGCACAGCACGTTCGATTGCGCACGCAGCTGGCCCCCTCCGTCGAAGTCGAAACACTTTTACCCCAGAACGCCGAATTGCCCACCAGTCTCTCCCACCTCCGAACATCACGTTGGCGAACCAGACCCCAAATACGAGCGACCGAGCCTAGGAGACCGATGGGCCGAACTCCCCCCGTTGGCTTCGGAAGGAAAACGATGATGACCGTGAAGGCACAATCGCAAAGTGGCGATTTTTCCGAGGTCGACAAGACGCCGGCCAATCTACCCACCGTCGCCTTGCCGGCAAACCGCAAGGACCGCGGGCGCAGCGCCTCCCAGCCCAATGCTGCACTTGGCGGGAAGCGCCTGAGCACGCTGTAGATATCATCTGCTGATAGGCCCGAAGTGCCCATTCGGCTCGCCAAGAGCTTGGAAGCCGCTCCCGGCCACGCGCAGGTGAGCACCAAGAAAAACCCTCTGCTCGGCCGCGCTCTGCCCAGCGACTGCCAGGCCTCCTGAAACAATAGCCCCCTCTTCCTTCAGCTTGCCCCCGCTCACTGCAAGCGCCACCTTGGCATGTCCACTGAGAACATATTTCGCGAAACTGCTCCATCGCTTGGCCCGCTCCGAAGCGCCTCGCCGCTGCCCCCGCCGAACCTCCTGAGAAAGTAAACCGTCAAAACATTCGCAGAGGGCGCCACCACGCAATGCCAAGTCCAACCACTCGCGCGGTCGAGGAGCTCCGACCCCGAAGTAGCAGCCGGCAGCGAAATGACAGCCAGCTCCCCTGCTAGACGGCCGCGACGGCCAGGGCGCATACGCCTGGAGCCCGGGGCCGCCTCTCCCCAACGCTCGAGCTGCCCCCACAGATTCAGCGCTGCTCTCCACAAAGCCGCGCCCCCCGTACCCAGGCAATGTTTGAGACGGGCAAGACGAGGGGATCGCTACACCTCGTGGAACCTGGCGCTGTTGGCACGGCCTCTGTACGCAGCTGCTTCTTCGTCGGCAATCCGCATGCGAGCGCAGAGGCCGACCTCTAGCTTGCTGCGCCATTCTTGCAGAGCGGCAGAGGTGGAGTCGACCGAGGCATCGAATACAGGCCCCTCGCACTCATCAGCAGGTAGGTCAGCGCCACGCTGCCTGGGGCCGTACCCAGCAGGGACTCATGGAAATGCCTCGCAAGCGACCTCATCCCGAACATACGGCTCATCCACAATACCGTCTACTTCCACGATGACTGGCGAGAGAGGCGGCATGGGCGCCTCCTCCAGCACCTTCACTTGACAGCCGAAAGCATCCAGCAGGTTGGATTGAATCAAGAAATCACGAACGTTCCCCCCGCAAGTGGCACGCGGGGTAGTTACGATGCTGCGGTGGACCAGCTCCAGCCAGCCCGTGGCTAGAAGGTCCTCTGGGCCCATGTTCCAGTCACCCGCCAGCACGCATGGCCTGGCTTAGCCAAAGAGAACAGAGGCCAGGTTGTCCAACAGGTCCAGGTTGTCCCCTATCGCCCCTAACCTAGTGGCAGCGCAGACTGAACCAACCAGCAGGGCGGTGGACGGCGACAGCGTGATGAGCCTGAAAGATCACCCGATGCTGCCACCGCTCGGGCACGTCGATGTTACGGCGCGCGCCAAGAAAATGCGAACTTCGAATCGCCACTCCAGATGAGACCTCCAGGTGACCAGGGCCAGTCCGCTTGGAAAAGGCCTGCAGCCAGCTTGATGGAACCTGAACGGCACCACCGATGAGCTGACCGCTCGGCAGGCTCCGAAGAAAACGATGTTCTTGGATACAGACAATACCCGGCACTCCACGGTGCTTATCCAACCAGGGAACCGCTTCTTTAGAGGAAGCCCAAGTATTGCCGGTCACCCTGGCAATCGTCAAACCACGCTTCCCATTGGCTCTTTCGAGCTCCAGCCCAGAAGAAACGCTCGCCACGCATCTGTCTGGGTTCGAGGACTCGCAGGCGTGAGTGGTTGGAATGACTCACTGGAGGCTGGTGTCCAATACCTGCACTCCATACCCAGAAGACTGAATACGATCCAGCAAGCCCATAGACGCCGAACCCGAAGCCATCGAACACAAAAAACGGTCTGCAAAACTGAACGCCGCTTGATTCGGAACAGTCGTCGGCTGAGTGTGAGAAGGCCGTTCTTGTGGACGACGAATTCAACGAGAAGAGTAGGTCCCATCATGGCAGGCTTCTTCGTCCCTGGGAAGGTCCATACGCACAACGAGAAATAGAGAACTGATTGAAGCGGCCGCCCCCTGAACTGCCACAAAGCTGCTCGTGATGGAACAGGGGGGCCCTCAATAAAACGAAACGGATTGTGCAATGAATTGAACACACGACGAGCCAGCGCCATCGGCCTCTGCCGAATGAAATCATCCTCGGCGCCCTCAGGCAGGAGGCTAAAAGGCTCCAGCTGCTCGCGGATTTCGTCGATGGACTTACTATCTGGGGCCAACATCTGCACCGCCAAGGGCAAGCCTGGCGGCTGCGTTGGAACGCCCGAGGAGTCGCCTGCACCGCCTTCAGCGGTCGCTGGCACCACTCCTGTGCCAGCATGATACAAAGAAGCGTTGGCCACGATACCGGGGAAAGTCTCCGCCAGGCTGTCGGCTTTGGCTTCCACGTCTTCGGAAATCCCAAGCCCGCCAAGCACCTCCTGCAGCTTGGTAAGGTTGAGCTGTAGGGTCGGGGGAGGCCCCCCGACTCTGGCCTACACCCCTTCCGCGACAAGACGATTGCGCTGCGACAAGAAGATTGCTTGGTCTCCTCTTGCGCAGCGATGTCCGTCTCGGACTGATTGATGCTCGCTCTGCAACTGAGCCAACTGCTGCGTCTGCCTGTCAAGATTTGCTTTGGTCTTTGTGAGCTTGCGCTCCGCTGCCTCGATGCTCGTGGTAACGATGTGCACATGGTGGACAGGACGGCTGGCCCGGAGCGAATCCCGAAGTTCGGCACGTTCACCTTCGAGAGATTTGCGAAGTTCGTCCCATGCTGGACCCACGAACTTCGCCACTTTGTGGAGCTCCTTGTCCACCTCGGCAAGACGTTGCCGAGCGGCCGTTCTCGTGAGCGACTCAGAATGCATCGACACGTCGTGGTCTGGCTTCTTCTCTTTGTGCTCCAGCTTCCTGACCTTCTCGCGGAGCTGCTGGAGCTCCTTGACCGCGCCAGCAAGCCAAGGAGGAGCGCTGCTACGCTTATTGACAAACTGATCGTGATAAGAAACCGAAGGATTGTGCGAAACAGCATTCGAACCGAAAAAGACACCCCTGTGCAACCTACATAGCGCACAGGTTGCGCACCCGCTCCCATTGATCCACGGCTCCCCCGTCTTGTCATGGATGCACGATTTACAGAACCATCTGGGTTTGACCGTATTCCACGCCATGACGCCGTACTCGTGACACAGAAGGGCACCCCATAGGGAGTGAGGGGCCTACGAGACGATGTACAGAAAGACGCGCGCGCACTGAATACCTGTGGGGTTCGAGCCCAAACCCCAGGGAAGGCGAAGGCCCCAGGCAATGGCTTGAGCCAAAATGGCTACGGACTCCTCCTCCTCCTCCTCCTCCTCCGCCTCCTCCACCTCTTCCTCCTCCTGTTCCTCTTCTTCGTTCGCTCTCTCCCTCCCCTGCCCTGGCCTCCTCCCCATCCCTCCTCCGCCCCCTCCCCCCCGCCCCCGCTTCCCGCGCGCCCGGGCCTACGAAGGGAAACTCGCAGCAGCGCAGCGGGTAGTTCGCTTTGCCGTCGTTGCACTCGTAGTCGTCCTCGGGGCGGGGAGGATGGGTGAGGGGGTGCGCTCCCCCCCGACGCACTTCGAAGGCCTCCAGTGGACTCCACGCATCCCCAGCGAAAGCCTCCCAAGTCCTCCCGAGGGGACGGCGAAGGGAAACGAAAGCGGGTGGACCGGCGGCTCAGGGGGGGTGGGAGGGACGTCGGCCTGAAATCGGCAATGCATCGCCGATGGATCGGCGATAGGCCCTAGATAGCGAATCCTCACGTGTTCCTGGGCGAGGTGGGTTGTCAGGCCCTTCTTGGCGTTCACTGAGCGATTTGGGGTGGACCCCTGAGCCTATTCCCTTCTGACGTTGCCCTTGAGGAGGGGAGGCTGATCGGTCGTTCGCCTGAAGCGTGTCAGCAGCAAGCCAGCTGCAGCGGGGGATGTGGCTGAAGCACCGCCCCCTGCAAAAGACACGAAAAGAGAAGGAGGAGGAGGAGGAGGAGGACTAGTGTAAACCCCAGAGTCATCAACGATGTCGGCATTAACCCTCCCTCCGAGCTCCCTCCTCACAGGCCCCTCCAACGGTTCACTTCCACTGAGGGAACTGCTTCGTTGGAAGACAACAGTTTGAAGATCCTGCAGCATGCCAAAACACACTTTTTCTTGGGATTTCAACGCCACGCATCAGCCTGACTGCTGCGTCTTGACGATCCGGAATCGTGCCAGACCGCCATTGTTGGGACTTCAACACCGCGAATCAACATAACTGTTGCACCCACATAATCCTGAGTCCTTCCCAAAATACAAATTCTGGTACGCTGATCATGGGAATCCGTGAAACTCTTACAATTTTTGAAGACGACACGCGGCGAAAAAACGAGAGCCACATGTTGAAAAGGAACCGTCCTCAGTCCGTCCATGAAACTCTTGCAAATGTTGAAAACGAATGTGCGCGGCGCTAAGGCGAGAGCCATATTTTGAAAACGACCCGCCATCAATCCGTGAAACTCTTGCAAATGTTTACCAAAAATGCGCGCGGCGCTGAGGCGAGAGTCACATTTTGAAAACGACCCGCCCTCAATCTATGAAACTTCTGCAAAGTGTGAAAACGAATGTGAGCGGCGCTAAAGCGAGGGCCACATGGTGAAAACGACCCGCGGCGCTAAGGCGAGAGCCACATTTTGAAACCGACCCGCCCTCAATCCGTGAAACTCCTGCAAATGTTGAATGCGAATGTGCGCGGCGCTAAGGCGAAAGCCACATTTTGAAAAGGGCCCGCCCCCCATATGTGAAACTGTTGTCACGCTTGAGCTTCAAGGTCGTAAATGGTGAGGAAATCTCAGGCGAAACGCCCGGCCCGCCCTAAAAACTGGCCTCGGGGTGCGACAGGGAGAAGTTATCTATAAGGAGAAGGAATGGAAGACGAGGAGGAGGAGGAGGAGGAGGAGGAGGAAAGGGAGGAGGGAGGAGGAGGAGGAGGAAGTGGAAGAGGAGGAGGAGGAGGCTGACGAGGAGGAGGCGAAGGAGGAGGAGGAGGAGGAAGAGGCGAAGGAGGGGGAGGAAGAGGACAAAGAGGAGGTGGAAGAAGGGGAGAAGTAGGAGGCAGGAAGTGGAAAACACGAAAAGGAGCGAAAGAAGAAGGGGGAAGGATTGAAGAGGCACGATCCCACAGGGAGAAGAGGAGGGAGGCCCCGAAGCTACTCCACCATACTGGGCCCGCTCTGCAGCGAGCCGCTGCTGCGCCCCGCGGCTGCGCTCTTCTCGGCGCGGCCGCGCGCGCGAGAGCCGAAGGCCACCAGGGCGCCGAGCTGTGGCACTCTTGAAGATGATCTGCGCCACCGTGCCGCTGGGCACGGAGCGAACTGAACCCCCACCCCCCCTTCGAAATCGTGGGGGGGGGGAGGAGGAGGACAAGGAGGAGGAGGAGGAGGAGGAGGAGGAGGAGGAGGAGGAGGAGGAGGAGGAGGAGGAGGGAGGAGGAGGAGGAGGAGGAGGAGGAGGAGGAGGAGGAGGAGGGGAGGAGGAGGGAGGAGGAGGAGGAGGAGGAGGAGGAGGAGGAGGAGGAGGAGGAGGAATGGGGGGCGGGGCTCACGCGTGGCCACCGGCCGGGGCCGCCGCCCGCGCCGGCGGCGCACGGCGGTCCTCGCACGCCTGGGGGAGGCTCAGCGTCGCGCCCAGGACGCGCCGCTGCGCGGCCGCCGGCGGCCGCTCGGTGTCCGCCTGGGCGGGGGGCACGGCAGCCCTCCCTGAGCGAACGAACGGGAAGCAAAGGTTCGAACGTTCGTTCCAGGTGTGGCCTCACCTGGGAACGTCAAAACCGGAGTCAGCGCCAACTCCATTCTTAAGGGGACGTCCCGAGCGAAACGGCCCATTTAGAAAAATCCGCCAACGCCCGGCCAGGATGCGATCAGGAGCCCCATAGTAAGGTTTTTCCTTAAGAAAAACGGTCCACGCTCCTCGTTCCTCGTTCGCGCTTCCCGTCATCCGCCGACCCTGTCGGCGTGTGTGAAGCGCATTTTTTTTGTTCGTTTGGGTCGTCGCCGTCGCCGCTACCCTCTTCCGTTGGAGTCGTCGTCGTCGTCGTCGCCGTCGCCGCGCTCCCCTCTTCCCTTCGCGATCCCCCCCCCCTCTCTCCGACCAAAACGGTCCAGGAGGGCCACACAGAGCCGGGAGAAAGGGAACGCCAACCGGGTCGAAGGGAAGCCCCCTCCGCACTTCCCTCTGCTCCCTTCCCCGCCAGGGGGGAGGTCCCCGGGAGCGGGATCACCAGGGGCAGTCCCGGGGCGGGGTCCCGGGAGGGGGTCCCGAGGCCGACACGGCCCACAAGGGCACCACCGAGAGCTCGCGAGCGTCGTCGCTGTCGCCGTCGTCGTCGCCTTCGTCGCCCTCCTTCGGGGTCGGCGGCCCCGGCCGGAAGGCTGTCGCGATGACTTCCCTCGGATCCCTGTCCCGCCAGGGGGGCGGGGGGGACCGCCAGGGGCAGTCCAGGGGCGGGGTCCCCGGGGGTGTCCTGCGGCCAGCACGGCCCACGAGGGCCCCACCGAGAGCTCGCGAGCGACGTCGTTGTCGCCGTCGTCGTCCTCGTCTCCCTCCAGGGTCGGCGGCACCGGCCGGAAAGCCTTCGCAATAATTTGTCCGCCGTCGGGGACGCCTGGCTCACGGCGGCTGAGAAGCTTACACCCTGACATGTCACCGTAGAGGCATAAACTTTCCAGCCGCCCTGGAACAAGCGTCCCCGATGGCGGGAAATCCTACGCCATGCCGTTCTTCGTCCGCACGAACCTGGGTGATATTGGGGCCATCTTGAGGCCTCACAAGACCATTAGGAACCTACTCCCGGAAGCTCTTCGAAGAACAGCTGCAGGCGATTCAGCCCGACTGAGGGAACCAATAATGCGGATCGAGCAGGACTGATCCCAATATTCAACCCGATCAAGCCAGACAAGGCGGGACTATGCCAGTTGGGCAGGTTTTCGACCGCGACTATACCAGCGCCGATGCTGAGCTCACTCATCAGCGTCCCCACAACCATCAGTATCAATATCATCATGTTCATCCCCCTCCACCCCCTCCTCCCCTTCCTCATCCGATTCCTGCTCACCCCCCTGCTGTTCCACACACCCCTCCTCCGAAACATCCAAGAGCCGACATAAGATTCGGGGGCATCAAAATCTCAGCAGCCAGCCGAGAACGGAGGCATACGTCCAACAGTCTGCGAAAACCTCTCGCAGCCTGCGAAAGCCTTCGAGGCCTCCTCGTTTGACGTTGCACACGAATGTCTAAAGTCCATTCCAAGAACAAGCGAGGACAACAAAGAAAGAGATAGGGTGGGCTAAGGAAGCGCCTACAGGGAAGGGGTACGAGGGCTGGAGGGCCTCAAACTTGTCAATTGTCGCCCTGGCAGCCCATGGCACCGAAATGCCGAAAAGCAGCAAGAAACGTGCCCCGCATCCATGAAACACACGGCTGTCGGGCGCGAACAATGGGGGGCGATAGATGGGGGGAGGGAACAAAGGTACTTCATTTGGGGACCGAAAAGGCCCCTTTGGGGGCCCTAAAGGGCCCCTTTTCGGCAGCCCTCGCTGCCCCCGGCCTCGGGGGTGGCACTCTGCGGCTGCGGCTGCTGCCCCTCCAGGCCCCCCCACCCTCGTCGCCCCTGCTGCGCCAGCCCGTCCAGAAACGGGGGGTGCGCGGCTCGCAACGAGGGGGCTGGCGGGGTGGAGTCAGGAGGAGCAGCGGCACACGCGCGACTCCAGGGCAGGTTTTAATAATGGGTTAATATGTATAGATATAAATATATATATATATATATATATGTATATATACATATATATACATATATAGATATAATATATGGGAATTTGATACCTGATTTATGTATGAATAACTTGATGCATGAACTCATCGTTGTTTTTAGTACTAGATCCCTGCATTGTTAATACATGATCCGCACGCGGAGCATGTATTAAAAACGGCACTGAACTGTGAGCAATCGGTGGCGACGGCCACCCGCTTTCGGCTGTGTGTTTTCCAGGGGACTGTCCTGGCCCCTGGGCCTCCCAGGCTTGCAGTGCGACGGTCCCGACGTGCGTTTGAGGGCGGGCGGGAAGGGCGCAGGCCCCTGGGAGGCCGAAGTCGGGACTGTCTTGGACGGCGGGCGACCAGTGAAGACGGCGAAGGACGGGCCGCGGAGGCGAGGGCACAAAAGGGTACCCCAGATAAGGGCGCGTGTCCTCACGAGGCGCGCGTGGACTGAAGGCGGGTCCTGCTGGCTTCACGGTGTAGCCGCTTGGTTGAGCGAAGGTATTTCGGAGATCCCTCCCTTGGGGAGGCCATCTTCAAGGAGCCCAGGAACAGACGAAACATAGAAACACACATACACACACACATTCCAGGATTCACCACATGTTCCCATATGTTCTGGGTTGTCGTCTTCCCCCCACAGTTCCCATATTTTCCCACTATCATTTTCCCGGGACTTGACATTTATTTGCGCCTGTGTGTTTCTCCCCAACTGACATCTTTCACTCGCTGATACAGCGCATGACTGGTCGCACGCAGCACATCCGCCCAGAGCAGCGTGCTGTGTAGTCGTTGAAGCATTCGGCCCGAGATCGTTCCGCGGCCTCCTCCTCCTCCTCCTCCTCCTCCTCCTCCTCCTCCTCCGCATCATCCTCCTCATCCTCATCCTCATCCTCATCATCATCATCATCATCATCATCATCATCAGCATCATCATCAGCAGCAGCATCATCAGCATCATCATCATCAGCATCATCACAATCGTCATCATCATCATCATCATCATCAACAACATCATCATCATCATCATCATCATCATCAGCATCATCATCAGCATCCCCCTCCTCGACGATGGCTCGACGACGACCGCGACGGCGGCCGCGGCAGATGCGATGACGACGACAGCGACATCGACGGCGGCGGCGAAAGCGGCATAAACGGCGGCAACGACTGCAACGGCGGCAGCAGCAGCGGCGTCGACGACGTCGTCGACGACGACGGCGGCGACGGCGATGGCGTCGATGACGACGTCGACGACGGCGACGAAGGCGCCGGCGGCGGCGCCTGCGCCGGCGCCGTGCCTCCGGTCAGCAGCGACGCCTCTCTGGCGAGGGCCGCCGGGACGACTACGACCAGGACCACGAACGCGACGGCCACGACGACGACCACGACCGCGACGACGACGACGACGACCACGACGACGACCACAACCGCGACGACGACCACAACTGCGACGACGACCACCAACTGCGACGACGACGACGACGACGACGACCACGACCACGACGACGACGTCCACAACGACCAACGCGACGACCACGACCGCGACGTGATGCGACGACCGCCGCCACGACCGCGACAGCTGCCGTATTGGCCAAGAAGGCCGCCGCCTGCGACGGCGAGGCCGCGGGCTGGAAGCTGAACGGCGACGGCACCTCGCCGCGGGGCGCGCGCGTCGCTATATATGGGGGGATGGACGGTGGGAGAGGAAGGACCATTTTGTGAGCGTTTTCTTATTCGGCGTTTCGACAGTGGGCGGACATGGGGAGGGGGTCTGGCTCCAGACCTCTGCTCAGTGCGACTGTTTGCAATAATGATGCTTCTGGGGGAGACCCCACCCGCTCGAAACAGGCGCCAATGACAGCCAAGCTCAAATCTCCATAGGGGGGGGGAGAGAGGGGCGGGGGGCGAGGGCCCGCGCCGATCGGCAAAACAAAAGCCAATGGAACGATGACTTTTCGTGCACCCCTGGGCCTCCAAAGGTCAAAGATCAACTCCAAAGGGCGGGGAAGGAGGGGGGGGGTGCGAGGGCCCGCGCCGATCGGCAAAACAAGGACTAAGAAAACGATCCATTTTCATGCACCCCTGGGCCCTGTTTGCAGTCGGATTTCCTTGGAGAGGACACGCGAGGAGGACACGAGACCCTTCCGAGGGCCACGCTGCCACAGGAATGCAGGAGGCATGGGTCGCAAGGCACAGGACACGAGGGCACCCTTGATCTGGCAGGGTCGCCCTACTAATCCGGGCGCCTCGCCTTCTGCCCCCCCTCCTCTCGACCGACCGACGGCGCAGCCGAGCCGACCGAACCGCGGACTCCACAACGAACGTCTTGAAAGGCTATACCGCAAGCAGAGGCCACTCGCCATCGCTCGGACGCCCCGTCCTACGCACGCGTCCTACGCACGCGAGGGCACCCCTGATCTGGCAGGGTCGACCTACTACTCCGGGCCGCCGGTAGGGAGGCCCAGAGGGACCCTTGCGGGCCATCTCTGGGGGCCGCGGCCCCCACGGGGGAAAAGAAGGGAGCGCCCTCGGGGCCCCCAGGGGGGCCCCTCCAGGGCGCCTTCTCGGAGCTGGGATGGGGAGGAGGGAGGAGGGAGGAGGGAGGAGGGAGGAGAGGAGAAGAGGAGAGGAGGGAGAGAGGGAGGAGGAGGAGGAGGAAGGAGGAGGAGGAAGAGGGGAGGAGGAGGAGGAGGAGGAGGGAGGAGGAGGGAGGAGGAGGAGAGGAGGGAGGAGAGAGGAGGGTGACGGGAGGAGGGAGAGGAGGGAGGAGGAGGGAGGAGGGAGGAGGGAGAAGGGAGGAGGAAGGGCGCAGGACGCAGTCAGCGACGGTGTCGCTGGGGCGGCGGGCGCGCGCCGCGCGCAGCCCGCGGCCCCACAGATGGGGGGCCTCGCCCCCGCCGTCGCCCGACCCGCTCAACGCGCGGCGTGGGCCAGGGCGGCGGGCGCGAGCTCCTGGCGCAGCGCGCTCGCCAGTTCGAAATCGACGAGGCCGACGAGCATCAGGATCGGCAGGAGCCTGAGCAAATTCACCATATCTGCTCCCGACGTAATACGGCAACAGTTGCGCAATCACAATCAAATATGCGCGAAGGTGTCCAGACCCAAGCGCCATAGCTCAACTACCGTTGATCGGAACTACTTTGGACTTGACGTACAGAATTATCTTCTCCTGGCACCAAAACATTGGCTTGTCAGGCTCTGGGGGGGCCGTCGGCTTCAGTTGCATCGAGAGAAAACCCCTGCCAAACGGCTTACACTGCCTGCCGAACCCGTCAGCCCCTTCCATGAATACCTGCCATTTGTGGCAACGACCATGCCCAACTTCCCGAAGGAGCCATTCACGGCCGCCTGGGCGTGGCCGACTACCTCCACCATCACGCCGTTGCGAATATCACCGTCTGGCTCCGCGACGTTCGGAAGATCGCCGCCAGCGTCCAGGAGGGTGCCTCCAACGCCTGCGTCTCGAAGATGTTCTCCACCGCCCAGAACGCTTCCAGCGTCCCGACTATCGCCTCCAGCGTCTCGTCGATCGCCTCCAGCGCCCCGAAGATCGCCGACAGGAGCCCGTAGATCTCATCCAGCACCACGTAGATCACCCCCAGCTTCCCGACGATCGCCGCCAGCGTCACGTAGGTCTTCTGCAGCGTCTCGAAGAACGCCTCCCGTGTCAATGATGTCTGTCGGCGTGTCTGTCTGTCTCTCTGTCCCGCAGATCGCCTTCGGCATCCTGAAAATCTCCCTCACGTAGGTCTTCTGACGCGTCCCGGCGATCGTCTCCAGCGTCCCGAAGATCGCCACCAGCATCGCAGGTATCGCCGCCAGCGCCCCGAAGGTCGTCACGCAGGTCGCCTCCAAAGTCTCGAAGATCGCCTCCACTGTATCGTAAGAGGGCCTTCAGACGCCCCCAAGGCGTTCCCATGTCCTTTAGCGTCCTGAAGAGTACCTCCAGCGTCCCGAAGATCGCCTCATCCCAAGGATGGCCTCCAGCGTTCCGAAGATCGCCTCCAGCGCCCCGTAGGTCGCCTCCAGCACCACGTGGATCGCCGCCAGCGTCCCGAAGATCGCCGCCAGCGTCTCGGATATAACCTCCAGCTTCCCAAGGCTCGTCCTCAGCGTCCTGGAGATAACCTTCAGCGTCCCGAAAATCGCCGTCAGGATCCCGTAGATCACTTCCACCGTCCTGAAGATTACCTCCAGCGTCCCGAAGCTCGCCGTCAGCGTCACGTAGATTTTCTGCAGCGTCCCGAGGATCGCCTCCGGCGCCACGAAGATCGCCTCCAGCGTCACGTAGGACACCTCCAGCGCCACGGGGAACTTCCGCAGCGTCCCGAAGATCGCCACCAGTGTCTGGCAGATCGCCTCCAGCTTCCCGAAGACCACCACCTCTGGCGCGCCGAAGATCGTCTCCCGTGCCCTGTTGGTATAGCCTTCGGCGGCTCTTCCCGGCAGGCGTTGGTGCCAGCTGCCGGTGGCGTCGGCAGTGTCCAGGGTGTCGCCTGTCTGCCCTTCGCTGGCTTCAGCCGCCGCAGCGTGCGTCGTCGGTTTTTGGGCGGGGGCCCTCGCACCCCTGTGATGGGGGCACTCCATTTCAAACAGCATGACGTCGATTCCACACGAGCGTAGCCTGGTCCTCCTGCCAGCGCCAACTGCAAGCGCCAGGCCGCCGAGAGCGCGCGCCGGGTTGCCCCTCAGGTGCCAAATGGAGGCGCCGAAGGATCCGGGCTGCTGGTGCCAAGCGGCTTGAGCCCAGACGTTGCTCGACAAGGGAGGGGGGAGGAAGGAGGGATGAGGCAGGACAGGGAGAGAGAAGAAGAGGGAGGAAGAGGAGGAAGGAGGAGGAGGGGGAGGAGGAGGAAGGGGACGAGGGGGAGAATAAGGGGGAGGAGGAGGGGGAGGACGAAGGAGGGATTGGATTGGAATGCCCTCGAAAGGGGGAGCGCACAGCACTAAAGCCGCGCGCCACCGCGGCCGGCGGGCGCCCGCGCGCGGGCGCGCGGCCGGCCGCGGGGCGCTCACGGCGCGGGTGGCGCACGGCGCCAGCGGGCCCCCCGCAAGCGGGCAGCATGGGAATAGCAGGACAGCTCCCCCCCCCACGTTCTGTCGGCCGGAAACGGCCACGCCGGAAACACCCGGCAGCCGACAAAACGGGGGGGGGCCAGTCCAAGCCAAACCCACGCCACCCACCCCAGGGGCCCGGCCCGCCACGACACGACACGACGCGACACGACAGGGGGACGAAACGAACGACGCGACACGAAGACACGACACGGACGAACGACACGACAGAGACGAGCCGCCGGTCCCGCCCCAGGGCGGCGATCGCTGGGGGGAACCAGCACCGCCCTGGGGGAGGCCACGGGACCTGGCGACCCCCCCGGGGGAAGGAAACCGCACTTTGGCGGCGTCCCCTGGGGTGCGGGAGTTTTTCGCCCCTCGGGCCCGGCGCTCCCCGCCTGCGCCAGCAGGACCCTAGGGTCCCGACCCCTCCCCTACGGGAGAGGGCCCCCTCGGGGCAGGATGAAGGAGGGAGGGATGGAAGGACGGGATGAGGGAGAGAGGGAGGGAGGGAAGGAGGGAAGGATTTTTTTGCTGTCGACCGCTGCCCGCCAAGCTTCCGAAGAGATTGCCGGACAGGAGGAAAACAACAGACTATAAATCAACAAAGGTATCGACAGTGCTACCCCAATCAAGGCATTTCCTCTTCGGAGGTTTACCTTGCCTCAGCCTACCCAGCGCCTCACGATTATATGCCGTGAGGGCCGCCGGCCCCAGCAGAGCGACTTGGCACTCCATGCGCAAATCGCGAGGCTTCGCTTCCGCCCAACATCCACAAAGCCCACAGAAGGTGAAGCGGCCTTTGCTCCATGCGGCATGGCTGTGATGCACCCTATGTCCGTGGACGAAGGCCGGGGGAGGTAAGCGTCGAGGGGGGTCGGCCATTTCAAGCCTGCACCACAGATCCTCGTCGATTGGTGCCTTACCGGCCTGCGAGCCCACCACTCGTCTCCCTCGCGGCCGCCTTCGACGCTCAGGCGCGGGAGGGGCAGATTGCAAGCGGGCCGCGCACTGCGTACGCGCAGCGCGGAAAAACAAACGAGAAACGGATTGAGCCAGCTTGTTGCAAGCTGTGCATCTCCATATGTTCTTCGCCACTGGCTCGAAACTGTGAGCGGAAGCCTCGAGAAGTGCAACTACAATCCTGCGACGGCGAACCACTCGCGGGAGCTGAACCCGATGCAAAATGCGTTCTGGATTCTTGAGCCCCCTAGCTCGCTCCAAAATGATGGAGGCATTGCGGCGCAGAATGCGGCAAGCTAAGTTTTCATAGTCAACTATTTCGCGGACCACGTCGCCTGGGAGCTGAGCGCTCGCCGAACGCGCCGTGGCAAGAGCATCCGCGATAGCATTGATGAAAAGATGTTGTGGATTCAGAGTCGCCGCAAACCGAGCAAGCTTAGCATCGTCATCAGCACAATGACTTGGCGTGTACACTAATTCCAACAAGCCTGACCGTAAGTCAAGCATCTGCCAGAGCTCCCACCACAAGTCAGCATTCTGCAACCGAAGGGTGTGGTGACGTCCCTTATGAAAGGCCTTCTGATGATTAATGTGGTCGGTGACAACCGTCAGGTGGTGATCACGTGCCACACGA